TTAGGGCGGGCACGGGACTTGCTGGGGCCCGCAACCCAGAACATTTGCGCGCTCGAGAAGGATCTCGCGAAGGCTTATTCCTCGCACACCCTTGATAGGGAATTAAAATACACCCTTGATTTGGAATATAATACACCCTTTGGACCTATGAGACAATACAATTTGAGTGTACCATCTTCACAACATTTTATTTTGAAACAAATGGTCTATATTCGGAAGAATCGGGGATAAACTACACCCTTCATTGCAAATCAGGAAAGCACACTTGGCCCGCTCCGATAGTGAAGGAAGGTTCGGCGACGTGCCAGCCTCTCCTGACAGGGCTGCTCTCTTTGGCCCGGCGATATAGGACCCCCCTAGACCGTGTCCAACCTACACATCCTTGAGGAAAAAAAAACAAAAAAACTGGAAATCAATCATGCATGATTGATTGTAACTCGGTAACCTCTCAATCATTGCAGCTATACTGATCACTATGCAAAACGTTATCTGGGGGAAAGAAAAAGTGAATAGGGACAGACAGTAAGGTGGCAGCCCAAGCGGGCTAACTCAGTTGGTTGAGCTCGTAAGTGGCATTCAGGAGGTCGTGGGTTCGATTCCGCGCGTCCTTTCCATCCCCCATGGCCCTTAGGGCGCACTTCGGGTTCCCCAACAAAGATAGTTGGTTTGGGCCTCCTGGTCGGTTGTGGAAGTGTGGTGTTTCGCTTTCCAGCTCGCACCAGGTGTTAGGAACCTCAGTATGGTTCTCTGTGCGGAACAGAGACGTGAAAAAAGTTGTTTCCATAACCCTAGCGTCCCATGCTAAGCGAGTAGCATATGGGTAGTAGCGGAAGGTGTAAAAAAAAAAACAAAAGACAGTAAGGTGGCAGTTGTGATTTACCAAGCTTCCCTCCTCCAATGCCAAGTTTGTTAAACCCGCTCGTTGTTTCTTTTTTTTTTCCTTTTTTGTTAATCATAAATGTTTTCTTAACTCGTCCTTCATCTAGTTGCATCTGGGACCTTTTCCCACTAGCTCCATTGAGCTAGGTCTACGTTTAGTTTTCAACGCTTTTGTGACTGTGCAAGACCATGGAGATGCACATCGTCCAAGTCATCTAGTGGTCCGTTTTTAATAAAAAAGGCAATAGAGACTATCGTTTGTTTTTCTTACAACAAAAAGCGGACGTAAATCCTCCTCTCCAATACTACTCCCCCTACCCTCGCCACTTTTCGTTGAGCTAGTTGTCTCCTTTTCTGGAGACAGCCAGCTCAACGGTCGTCTTATTCCCCCAAAAGCCGTTTTTTTGGAGAAATTGTACAAGCCTCCTCCCGTTTGCCATTTTCGTATGGGATTCTGACAACTCTTCATTTTCGGTTGTAGACTTGCCCGTATGCCACTCCATTTGTGAAAAAAGAGAAAAAAAAACGAATTGTATCTGCACGATTTATAAATGCATTTCTCATTTTCAATCGAATTAAAATGAACAGTTTTAGCTGTCACACCGGTGAGTTGCCTCAATTAAACGGTGCAAGTGGGACATGGTCCCTGGACTCGAACTTGGGTCTCTACTTCAAGAGTTGATGGGTGTAGCACCTGAGTTGAGCCAGTTGGCTGTTTTTTTTTTGTTTGTTTTTCCCCTTTCTTCTAGGTCCAATATAACGTGGAACCGGGAAAAAAAACTGCAAAAACGTTACAGGAGTAGGCAGGCCAGCCAACCTGTTCTTGCCAAAGTGAGACTCGTAAGCCTGTAGTCTGTGGACAACTACCTTCTTCACGAGTATAATGCCCGATCATTATCATATGGACTAAAAATTGCACCAAATACAACTATAATGATTGGTGTATTATTCAGGTGAATATGGTACTCTACCTGGCCTACGCCGACAATGTTAGCATCCTCTCTTTTCATCCTAGCTAGAGTATACCGCAAAGTGTCGTATGATACTTCGGCTAAAATTCTCAGAACACTGAGCCAAAAGATGAGGGCATCAAGCACCCAGAGGAGAAATTTCTGCCATTCCATTATCGAGAATACACAGGGAACTTTGAAACAATTATCACGATAAGACTCGAGCATATACACCTAGAGCAAGGTTAAAAATGGGGCAGGTGGGTAGGTAGTAGTGGGAAAAAAGGGTGAGCGAGAAGGAAGGGGAGAGAGAGAGAGAGAGAGAGAGAGAGAGAGAGAGGAAAAAGATGGAGAGAAAAAAAAAAGCACGCGCAACGAGTACTATTGAAGCCCGATCAGCAAAATCTTCAGGATAAGACTTTGAAGCACATCATATCGCTCCCATCCGGCGAAACGGACGCCATAGGCGGGGAACGCCAAGGATACCCGATGAACCCTACGGGAAGCGATTATCGGCAAAAGCCCGACATGTTTCGACTGACGCCGATATGCCAATCATCTTCAGGGGCAATGCACGGGAACAAGATGACAAACGCTGCGTTATGAAGACTTAAATAAGTTTCTTTAACTATACCTAAGAGAGAGAGAGAGAGAGAGAGAGAGAGAGAGAGAGAGAGAGAGAGAGAGAGAGAGAGAGTCGGAAGACTTATCTGGTGGCAGTTGTCGAGCGTTTGTAACTCCATAGAAAAACTTCAACTTCCAGCGGCAGAACTGAAGGGATGCAATACACCCAGGTATAGGGAACGTCATTGTAGTAGCTGCGGGAGAGGGACTTTCAATAAAACAGGTATGATCGTGATGAAAAAAGCTAGTGACAAAGAGAGAAACACGCGCATTCGGGAGCGGGATCATATATGCAGTCATGTTGTAAGATCAGGGAGAAGGAGGAGCGACAGCGGGAGGCAAGCCTAGTCGTAGGGAGTGAGATCGGCAGGTGCAACGGGGGTGCTTTATAAGCGGGGGGCAAGTGAGACTAGGAACTAGAGCGTCTTCGGAGTAACCAGCGGGATCACCACCTGCGCTGTAGTAGCAACTGGACATGAAAGGAGGGAAGGAGGGAGGGAGGGAGGCGTGCGCTTGGTATATGGAATAGGTGGACTGCTGAGAACAAATGAGACGAGGAGCTGGAGCGTCTTCGGTACAACCAACGGGATTACCGCCTGCGCTATCGTAGCATCTGGAAATGAAAGGCGGGAGGGAGGCGAGTGTTGGGTATAAGAAGTAGGTGGACTGCTGGCTTGGGACTGAAAATTTTGAAAAAGTTGAAACATTAAAAAATTCAAAGGGGTTTGGTTTTTCCTGCTATATAAGTTTGGCCCGTACCAGGCTCCCAGTGGTAAAAAACGGAGTCCTTCTGGTGTATCGGCTATTCCTAGGGGCTGCTACAGCCCGTCGCGTACAAGGCATGCCGTTTCCCGTGTCTATTACATACCCGAGCTCACAAAAAAGAATTATAGTGTGTGAAGCAGAAAACCCAGTGCTTCCAACATTCTGAGAATTTCGTAGAAAAGGACGAAATAGCATTATCAAAAAACCGATTAGGATAACCCCGTATCCTAAGCTCCTTTTTAAGGGTTTCTAGGAAAATTACCTTTGTTGTCGGGCAAGTGCCAAAATTTCTAGCCGTATGGAGATTGGAACTGATGACGACAAACTTTTGTTGCTTACTTGAGAAGGAGATGAAATCTTGTACTGGCTGAAAAGCAATCTCTCTTGTTTGTAGCAGTGAAGCTTGGTTCCGTTTGGTGGGTATGCAACAAATCCCAAGTGGTGGGGGGAGTACTTCCAATTGACATCCCAACAAGTCCCAACGACCTCCACGACTTGTTCTTTCTTGAGTCAAATTCTTGTCATAACAGTTTTGGAAACAGTCCAGAATGTAGTTCGCTTTCTTTCGTGATTTGACGTCATCCATGCTGTATTTGACGAAAATCGATACATTATCAACCAGTTTTATACCTTGAATTAAGTGTCAATCATTCCCTAGTGCTGACAAAAAATGGAACTCGTTGTACATACATAGCATAGCTGCGAGCGCAGGGCTGGAAGACTTGCCCATGGGAACACCAACAGTCTGTTTGGGAAGATGTCCCATGGCGAAAACGTACGTGTTATTGAGCTCAAAATCCATGAAGTCTTCAATAATCGCAAAATTGTGAAATTTACATTCCAAAATGGACCTGCTGGTAGACAACTTGGCTTCTTTTCCCTTCTTTTTCACCCTAAACCACGAAGGGCCTGCCGAATGGAGTCATGCGGTAGCTTGCAGAACATTTTTTTTACATCAAAACTGGCATTGAGAAGTGATTCCAAGGGGAAAACCGTATCATTAATACCACGTAGATCCGAAACTAACCGTTGTGTACTAAAGAGATTGAAGTAAAGAGACGCGGGCAGGTTCTTGACAAGGGTGTTTAGGCGTGCAGTTACTCGTTTACAAGCTCGTAGGGAGGGTTCAGACGAGGTGGGGCAGATTGGCCGCCATTTCTAAATATCTTTATGTTTGACAATAACATACCCTCTTCCTAGTTGTCCTTTACCATTACAGGCGCCGATTGAGTCAAAACCTCCCTGTAGGAACTTTTTCCTACAAGAACTAATAACCTCCGGCTCGCTTTTGTTGATGACGTTAAATCCTGTGTTTTGCAGAAATAATGTGTTCATGCCTTCTTCGTACACCATGGGGCAACAAAATAAAGTATTGCCAGGATTATGGTCAATTGGGGACAATACATATCCTTCGTTAGGTCCTTCAGTATGCCCACACTCTTAGGTGTCAATGGAAGTGACCGTAGCACAGAGAACGAAAGCGGTAAGTAGGAGAAGGTAGGATAAGACAGAAAGGGGTCAGAATTAAGAGAGGGGAAAGGTTGAGAGGAGGGAGTCAGGGAGGTATGCGAAGATGGAGACAGTGTAGACAAGGGGGTATGTGTGGTGTAAGAAGCAGGGAGATTCTTTGTTGCGGGTATACGAGTCACAATTCTAAAACAGGGAGAAATAATTGAATGGGGAATGGTAAATTTGTTTAGCGAAGCAGTAAAGACAGGGATCTGGTTTAGAGTTTTTTTAATTTGTGCTCTTAGTCGCGTAGGGCCATAGAGGCGAGAGGGCGGAGGAATGTTCCTTGAGTTAAGGAGCCAGGGGGGCATCATACAAAAGTCCTTAGCACGGAAGGTGATGTGCTCGTTTATTCGTGGTAGCATAGACCATGAGATCGAGAACGGGGGGGAGGAGGAGGAGGAGAGTGAGGAGGAAGATGAGGAAGATGAGGTGGATTGGGAGGTTGAGGAGGAGGAGGAGGAGGAAGGGCAAGAGGGGAGGTAGGTAATAGGAGAAGAGGGGAATCAGGAAGGGTGAAATGTGGATCGTGACAGATAGTTTTTACCAAACTCGGTAAATTTGTTGAGTATCGCATCGCATGAGCATTTGGTATTTTCCATCCTTAAATACGTACCAAAATTATGGAGTGATTGCGCCAAACTGCGATCGTTGGTCCAAACTATTCTCATCCTCCTTAACATCATACTTGCCACAGTCTTTACAGTGCCTAAGTTGATTTCTACCATATCTACTGACTACCACCAATGCCTCGAAAAATCGTTTGATAACCTTCCATGAATCTGATAGTATAACTCCACCCTAGTCTATTGCGGAAAATGACTTAATTCCAAGTTTCGCACATTCATTCAGGATCCGTAGCAGAGAAATTGAAGAAATCCCGTAAAATTAACCGCCTGGTCTTTGGGTGCTGCTGTTGATTAATTGTGATCGTATGGCTACCAGATATCGGTGGTTGCGTGGACTCCTTTTTTGCCCTTTCTCATTTACCAGGTCTATTCTTCTTGATATTACTCGCCTTTCCTACCGTTGTTCGAGAATTTAAGTAGGGAGAGGACCAGTGAACCAGTCTGTCCTCAGCAACCACTAAATCCTGTAGATGGGTGACCATAAGAGGAAGAGGAAAATAATAATGCATCCCTACCCCCCTCATCCATCTATAAAGTCTGTGATTCCTAGTCTTGCTTGTGGAAGAATCAGTCAAGGCCATGCGCCGAACATGTTCTAACCATCTTTGTCTCAGCGACCTAGCAGTACTTCCAACATAGCAGTGCTTCATGAAAGGAGACACCAAGCAATAGACAACAGGACCAGGACACTGCGCAAAATCATAGTTCACATCAAGAAGGTGTAGAAGGGAATCCGAGAACTTAAGACAGCAGGGTATATACTGAAGAAGAATCAGGGCGATGACAATCATACGAGTAAAATAATGAAGAGCAGGGTCAAGCAGATAATCTTTAGACTTACGAAGTTGGAAACATGCCTTGAGAAGAACCCAAAGATCATGACCACTCATGTCGTATTCCTATTCATTACCAATAGGTTCGTCTTCGTCGGCGTCGACCTGCTGAGTGGCCTGTCCATCGAATACTTCACGATCTTCATCTCGTACATCTTCGATCTCTAAATGTTGTATGGGGCGATCGGGCTTGCGCTGCGGTCGGAGGTCAAATGCAAGCGATGCCCTCAGTTCTGCTATCTCGTTAATGGCTTGCTCACAAGTGATGAAAGTAATGCCTTCCTTCCCACACAGTATCTGCAAACAGTGCTTCTTGAGCCTCTTCAAGTACTTCTTTGTTTCTTTGAGGAACTCCGCTCTCTCAGTGGAGGCAACCTTACCAGCGAGACGTCCAGAGGTGCGTTTCGGCACAGAAGGCCTTAAAGTGAGGTCATCAAGGCCATCCTCATGCCGCCCATGTAGATCCTGATCTTTATCGCCCGTGGCTTCGTTCATGCGTTTCGAGAGATTCGAGTGAGGAGTCCTGCCCTGCCTGACCAACCTCGAGACTGCTTTCTCAAACCTGTCCTTGAGCGTCTGGACTTCCATATTTGCAATGTGTTTTCCCTCCTCCACTGAGTTGTAAGCTCTTAGTAACTTCTAGAAGTCATCAGATGTTGGAGTGCCAACCCCTATGACTCTAGCCTTTCCTCTTACTAGGGCCGCGGGAGGACTGGTAACACACACTCCAGTCGCCGTCCTCTTTAGCGCATAACCTGTCTGCTTGACAAACCTTGTCAACTCCTCCATGTGTTTCTTGATTGTCTCATGCTCGCGCCTAAGCTGCTCGACTTGTTTCTCCAGTCTCTCCTTTTCCAGATCTAAGCCATGCCTTATTCTGACGCTATCCTCTCTACAGCTATTGTCTGCAAGTGCAGGCGCTGGTCTAGTTTGCTCAGCTTTACCCAAGAAGAGCTCGCAGGCATCGTTGATATTTGTACCCACGATGTTACTGATCCTCTCCTCAAAGTCTTGTCGCTCTTTCAGCTTCCTCAACGTTTTTTCCTCAACTTCTTTCGCCTTTCTTCGTTCCTCCTCTTTGGAGCAGCTTCTCTTTCTCTTGGATCGCCTCTTGTCTGCCCTCCAGCTCGGACGCCATAAACTCATATGCGCGACCAAGTTTCTCCTGATTCATCTTCCACCAGGGCTGGCGGTCGAGTACCATCTGTCCAGAATTCAGAGAAGAGTTAGGGTTATGATTTGGAACATTCGAATGTGGGACAGGGGGTGGTGGCAGAGCGAGAAGCGGTGCTCGAGGGGGACTGGTCAGAGACGGATTGTTGGAAGATTGTAGCGGGGCGAACATTTGTGGACGAGGGGGTTGGGGAAAGGAAGGTTGACGGTAGGGGCAGTCTCTGGTGAAATGCCCCGGCATACTACAATTGTAACATACACCCGAAGAAGCCATCGTACACAAGGAATGAATCGAATTACAAGTACGGGACAAGAAAAATCAGGGTACAGGAAATGTGGAGAACGAGGGGGCAAGAACAGCGACGAAGGAAGGAAATGGGAGGACGGAGATCGGGTGAGATTCATAGCCTCTACCCTGCTTAACTCCTGCTCCCTAACTTCTAGTCTCACCTTTCTTTTTCTAGCTCTGTTATGACCCTGGCCAATTTCGAGATACACATCCATCAGAAAATACAATGCCATCTAATTGCAGAAAGAAATGAATGAACTTGAGAGGAGAGAGAGGATTAGAAGAAGAAGAAGAAGAAGAAGAAGAAGAAGAAGAAGAATAAGAAGTAAGAAAGAAGAAGAAGATGATGTACACCAGCAAAAACAAATGATAAGGCACTTCTTCTTCGCCCAACAATCTCCTCCTCCTTGTCTCCCCCTTCTCTTATTCATACAAGAAATAATAATACAATGTTGGATGACTGATCCAGAATCAATGTCCGAGTTCCTCTTCTACTGCAGGTATCACTTGAGGTCCTCCATAGCCATGGCCGCCTCTCCCACTCTTCACTCTCATAGGCCGAGGCTATGGCGAACTACTGGGGCCGGCTCAGATGCCCAAAGGACAACCCAAAGCAGCTATGGCTGCTTTAGCTCGGGCCGCCATGCTTGACCCTGCCTCGAAGCTTCTTGGTGTAGCTCTCCCCAACTGGGGACTCCCTGCTGCAGCGCCCACCAAGGTGATGAAGATGGCTGCCACCATAGCCAGGTAAGTACCCCTGGCGCTCCTCCCCCTTCCTTCCTTCTTCCTCCCCCGTGTCCTTCTCCTTCCTCCTCAGCAGCGCTGCTCCAGCCAGCGCTCCACCAGTGTGTCACCAAACTTGCACACCCAAAAAGAGGCCGGACTCTTCGCCCGACCCGAAGATATAGCGGCCTGCTTTGCCTCTTGGGCGGTGACTTCCAGGCCGCTTGGCCTCCCAAGCAACCGGTACCTCCTCCTTTTTGGAGGGAAACATCATTGCAGACTCTGATATTGCCCGTACAGGCCTTAGACTCAGACTGGTATCCGCCTAGACCTAGCCTACACTACCGAGCCTCTAAAAATGCCACTTTTGTCTTCTTCTGCTCGGCCTCCGGTACCTGCACATCTACCGCTTCTAGGTGCGGTACCGGCCTACCCGCTACTTGAGTGCTTTTCTCCGTTGCAACCCCTCAATGTCACGGCCACAGGTAAGTACCTGCCCAGAGGGCCCATCGAACGAGCAAGTGCCCTGACGGGCCACACACATACTCATGCCAACCAGCACTCAGACAGGCACGGTCACACACACACCCAAGCCAACCAACACTCAGACAGGCATGCAGTCCAGCAAGCGTGCACACACAGACTTAGTAGCAGGCGGGAAACTCAGCGAGGCATTCACTCCATGTTTGGACGGGTCATCACACTACTCCCCCCTCAAGAGCGAGGTCCCTTCGAGCGAGTAACTCATTCTGAGTCCTCGACAAACGCATCGTAGGCAAGCAAGGCAAACAGATTCCGACAATACTCTGTCGCAGTGAGCCTTGCAGAGATCTTAGTTAGTGGCGATTTGTCACTCGTAGGCTTTAACAACGCGCGGTGCACTGCGTAGCAGTTCTTGCTTGGAAATCCAGTACAGATCATCTAACGCATGATACATAAAGTGAACCTGGTACTGTCTGTTGCGTCCCTTCCCTACGTGCTGTTTAATTCGGTCTATCTCATGCCCACCTTTGATCGCGCGAGGGATCATATCTTCGCGATAATTTAATGTCTTAGCATCACGGTGGAGGTACAGTTTGGATGCATGGAACACGAGGTATGTCCGCAGATGGGCTGGCACATCAACTACGTACGAAGGGCCAAAGTGGTCTTCGCCAATCACATCCAAAACTTCCCACGGTCGGTAATAGAGTGGGAGAAGTTTGCGAGAGACCCCTTCTTCTTTTGAGAATTCAGACATCTTGACCCAGACATAGCTTCCTACCTAAATGTCCGACGGTCGGCGCCCCTTGTTCGCGTGATGGATCATGGCATGTTGTCGCTTGGTCATGGCTGCAATGGCGACCTTGAGCAAGCGATCATACTTGGCCCTGAAGCCAGGCCTGCCCGATGTTAAGCCAGCTGGCTTCTCAGGGAATAGGTAGGAGAGCGGATTACGGATCTGCCAACTGAGATGCAGCCTGTCAGGTGCCATGCCGGTGGAAGAATGGATGGAGTTGTTGTATAACCCATCTGAACTCTAGCGAGCCTAAATCCAGCCAAAGTTGGCGTCAAGACAGTTATTCATTGACTGAAGTCAATGAATCTAAGTTAATTGATTCAAACAACCACATAAAGAGTGAGACTCTTCATCCCATGTTTCCTGATCCGGGATAATCAAAGCGCGGAGAAGTTGGAACACAGTCTGGTTGATTTCTTCAGCCAAACCGTTGGCTTTAGGGTGTTGGCCAGATGTCATACACAACCTGATCCCCAGATGAGACGTGAAGTCCTTCCATTCAGAACTAATGAAGTGTGGGTCCTGATCGCTTACGAGAGTCTTCGGGGTCCCGAAC